GCATAGTGTTTAATTATAAATATTTGGTTATTTTTTCACAGATAGTTCTGTTATTGATTTATAATTTAATTTCATTGCTAAACCCAAGATTGTACTATGTACGATTTGCACCTATTTGAATTTATTGAGACTTAGTGTATGACCTATAATATTTTGTGAATATTCCATGTGCACTTAAAAAGAATGTTTTGAAGTGGAATGTTCTGTGAATATCAATAGGTCAAGTTAGTTGATAGGATTTTTAAAATCTTATACACCATTACTGATTTTCTGTTTGCTTCTATTCATTAGTGAAATAATTATTGGAATTTCAAATTATTATTCTTTTTATTTATTAGAAATATGTTTTGAAAAAAGAAATAAAATGAAAGAGCAAAGGTCATCGGGCATTGAAAAAGAAAATAAAAGATACAAAATAACCAGACATCAAACTGTTGCCTTTTTATGATCACTAGGCATTTATATTTTTTATAAAAATGTTTAAGTAATTGCTCATTTATGTAATAAAATGTTTGTGTTTTTATTTAATTGTTAGAGCTAATTTTTTATGAAGTATTTATGGTCATCAAATATCCTTTTAAACATTGATATTTAGGAAAATTCTTGATCCATATATATTGACTTAGTAGAGTGACTTCACTGAACTTTCTGAATTTTACTATTAATTATTTAATATATTATTAATATATTTCTGAATAATATATTAATTTAATATATTATTAATACAATACACATAGAAATAATTTAATTACTACCTTTTTAGTAGTTATGTATCTTTCTTTCTTTTCTTTTTTCTTCTTTACTACACATATTCCTAAGCATTTCTAAACAACATTAAATCGTAGTACTGATAGTGAATATGGTTGTCTATTGTTAGATTATAATGGGACTAGCTCATATTTCAATACCAACTGAATAATTTTATTTCACTTTTAGATTGATGTTTGTTTTAATTAACTGTTTTTTTCTTAGTAGTTTATTGAGTTTTATGAGGGATGAATGTTGGATTTTATAAAATAACTTTCTGAGCATCTATTAAAGTTTATTTGTAAATTATGAACATGACAAATTATAGAGTTTCTTAATAATAAATTATTACATTGTTTAAGATCAAGTTGGTGACAGTCGATTATTATTTCATTATAATGTTAGATTATGTGTTTTATTTAGGAATTTTGTGTATGGAATAAGTGATATCACTTTATTTATTTTTAAATTTTGAAGTATTTTTGTCATATTTTAATATCAGAATTATGTACAACAGGTTTACAGAAAAATTTAGAATATTTTTATTTATCATATCCTGAAAATTTCATATAACATTATAAATATCTCTTCATTGAAAATTTGAAAAAACTCAATGATAAAAAGAATTTTGGTACAGAGACTATTTGTAAGACAATTCTTTCATAAGTGGTATTTATTTTCTTGTATAGTTTTAGCTTCATTGTAATTTCTACAATGAAGAAATTGTTGACTTATTTTTTAATATTTATATGCTTTAACAAAGCATATTTTTTTGAAATGAGAATGTCATTTGCTGAGCAAGACTGAAATTTGAAAAATTCAGAAATGTTATTTTCCTCTGGTTTTTGTCTTAAATAGGTTCTTAGTTTCAGTTGTTTTAAATTTCTTTCTCTCCATAAGACAGCATGATTTCCACAGTGTATTCTTCTTTTTTCATTTTTTTAAAAGTTTTCATTGCATCTGTGTGCCAGAACTTGGTTCATCCTTTAATGTTTCACCTTTCAGTGCAATTATGTGTCAGATCTGTCTTTTCAAATTAGCATCAAATTATGCATTTTAAAACTTTTTATTGAAGTTAAGAAATAGAAAAGCATAGCATAAGTGTTAGAGCTCAATTGTCACAACGTGAATTTCGTCATACAAATTATGCATTTTAAAACTTTTTATTGAAGTTAAGAAATAGAAAAGCATAGCATAAGCGTTAGAGCTCAATTGTCACAACCTGAATTTCATCATACAATCATCGTCCAGATCAAGAAACAGAACATTATTACCACCTCAGAAGCTTAGCATTCCCCTTTAATCTCAGTGTCCTCAGACGTAATATTATCTTATTAACATCATTGTATGAATTTATTTTGTACTTTCATATATAAAATTATGAAGTATTTTTGTGTATATAATTTTATTCATGCAACATCTTTTATATGGAATTCATCCATGCAGTTGCATGGTGCTGGGTTTCGTGTTAATTTTCCTTGTTGCTTGGTATTTAAGAATAAATATATCACAACTTATTTATCTACTCTGCTATTTAATGAACATCCTAATACATAGATTTTGGTGCAAATATTCATGCATTGCATGCCTATTGGGTTGTAACTAGGAGTAGAATATAATAAATACATATTTCCCTGTAAGTATACACACACAAGCACACACACACACACACACACACACACATTAATGCCTATAATCATTAATTCTTGGCTTTGTCAGTTTTTATTTGATTTTAGAAATATACTGATAATGTGTAGTAGTATTTCTCTGTAATTTAAATATGTACTTCACTGATTTCTATTGAGGCAGAGCTGTCTTTTTAGGAATATTTGCTCCAGATATCTGTTAGCATTTGGATATCCTCATTTGTGAAGTGCTTGTTTGGATGTTTTGTCCACCATTACAGTTGCATTATTTGTATTTTTCTTAGCAACATGCAGAGGTTATCATGGATATGAGTCTTTTGGGATATATGTATCGTAAATATCCTTTTACATTCTTTGATTTGCCTTTACTCTTTCAAATAATAGTATCTTTTAATGATTGGAAGTTCTTGATTTTAATTTATCAATTTTTAAATCATTGTTTTTCACGCTTTTTTGTGTGTGAAATCTTTACAAACCTCAATGTCATGGATTTATTCCATGTTACCACGTAGAAGCCTGTTAGGGTGTCACACAGTGTATAATGGGCTGTGCCATTCCTCTCCTCCTTAAAGCATTGGATGTCAAACCACACCACGCTAAATCCAGCAATCACAAGTAACTTCAATGTTTATTACTCATGCAGAAATAAGCAAAACAAAGAAAATCTTTGAGTGAGCAAAAGCTGTGTCTTACCAGCAAGAGTTTTGCTCTTAGAAGTCTGGCAGAGGAGAAGGAAAAGAGTGAGTGAGGTTATAGGAGAAAGATATGTAGAAGTTAATGTAATAATATATTAGTCTAGATGTGATGTGCCTATAGTATAAACTGAAATAGTGGAATTGGATAGAAAAAAAGGTGAATTAAGACAAGGGAGAGGTAAAATCAACAGGTCTTGATGTCCAAATGGTTTTGGAGGGTGAAGCTGTCCTTGATGATTTCAAAGATTCTGAATTAGATGACTAAGTTTTAGGAACTAATATAGAAGTCGTAGAAAAAGAACATTCCTCTGGAATGAGAAATAACTTTATTGAATGTTTTGTATTTGAATTTTCTTTGAAACTTTGGATAGAAAAGACTGATGATTAGTTGGAAATATAATTTTAAAGCCAAAGAGAAACCCAAGACTAGAAAAAAAAGATTAGGAAGTCATTGGTGTGCAAATAATATTGTTGGTACTTGAAAAATTCCACAAAGTATTGTGCAAGACTTAAAAACAAGTGAATTAAGATATCAATAAGATGTTTTTTAAAAACAAATGTAAGATGAAATATATGAAAAGACACCTTTACATAAACACACACACACACACACACATACACATTCTAGCTGTAACAGAATTGATAGTAAATTAATTGGATAAGTAGGTATACACGAGGAATAAACTTGTCCATCAGAATGTTGGCTGGTAAGTCATGGAAGCATAGAAAGAATTAGAAAAGTAAATTCTGACAGTTTTAATTCTTCAAGGACCTAAAATCTAATGATTTAATTGGCTCATCCTAGGGTCTATTGCAATTACTCTCACTATCTTTTGTCATTTTTGTGTGATCTTAAAACCTGTGGAGCAAACTCTTAACCATGAAGGGTACACCCAAATAATGTCATGTTATGTGCTGCCCCAGAGCATATCTATCTTTCCTGAGTGGTAAATGCTTGCCTTACTTTTAGCCAGATGCATTTTTTTTTAAATAGAGTTTCTATAGTTCATTTTTAAACCATAAACATAACTAATGTGATACTTAGAAATAAAATGAAAACAGAAGAGAACTGGTGATATAACTGAGATATAGTAGTCAACAGTTTCAAAAGCTATAATGGTGACAAATAACAAGACTAAAAGTATGCAATAGACTTTCAACTAGAATTATGAATTTTTGGAAGTAAGCTAAAAGGTGATAATGATGGGCAATTTAATCTGAATTGAAAATCAGCTATTCAGAAGAAATTCTATTTCACTTTTCTCTAAGATTATCTTATTTTATGTAACAAAATTATCACTTATTTTTTTTTTAACTTAACCAATCATTAAAAGAGTACTAGAAATAGCTATTACATTTTATTGAGTATCTTATATCCTAGGCACTGTTACACATTTTATATGTATTATCTTATTTAGTCTTTAGCCCAATAAATTAAATATTTTATTCTTATATTTTACAGATGGGAAACTGAAGTTTAGAAAGTTTAATTTAAAAGTTTCACATAAAATAAGTGACTGAGATTTAACACAAAACCTGTGCTATAGTTGCTATAACAATATTGTTTGAGAAAACTAATATCTCTATTAGGAACTCTTCTCAACTCTTTTTACCATTTCTCTTAAACAGGAATTATTTCCTCAAGAGGAAAAAAATAAACTCTAGGAAACTAAAAGAAGACAGGATAATCTCAAATGGTGACACTTTTTGTCTAACCTCACCTACAATTCAGTTTTGAGACACTCTATAATATTTGGGAATTAACAGAGAGGTTACATGATAGAAGTTAGAAACCACAAAAGATTATTTAAAGTATCCATTGTTCATGGTATCCAGCTAGAAGAATCTACCAGTTACTAAAACATCCCCACAAGCCAACTACTTTCAAAAAGACTTCTACCACTATCACAAGATGGTGCCACTAGCATATCATGATCAACACTTTGTGCCATTAGAACACTCTTACCAACTGGTCACAACAAATTCATTAACACATCAGCACACAGGTGAAAATCTAAATCAACCCAATAACCATTCTGTGGTCAGAGTGCAATCCCATAGTAATCATCTTGCAACGCTTCCACTAAGTTCTAACCAGAAGGTGCAGAGGTCCCCTCCCAAGTCTCAGAACACAATTTCACCGGACTTCTATAGCAGGGTTCTGAAATCACCATTATCCCACTCCAAACATCAGACTATACCTTCGCTAGACATCCACCAGAGAACTTCTTCACAGCCTAATTGGAGAGCCCTGAACTCACATTTGTTCCACCTCAAACCTCAGACAAAGTCTTCACCTGATCTCAACAAGACATCATCATCACTGGATCCCAATCCAACAGCCTTGAGCTCACAATTATCCCTCCCTAAACATCAGAATACAACTTCCCCAGACCTTTGCTGGACATCACCTTCCCTGAAGTCAAATCAAAGATTCTCAAGTTCATCATTATTCTCCTTAAAACATCAAAAAACACCTTCCCTAGACATCCTCTGGGCATCATCATCTTTGGGACCTAATCAAAGAGCCCTTTGCTCAACATTCCCTCAGTCCAAGCCTCGGAAATCATCTTCACTGGACAGCCTTTGGACATCTTTGTTAGAGTGCAATCAAAGATCTTTTAGCTCACCATCACTCAACTTTGTACCTCCAACAAATGACTTTCATCAGACAACACCTTTGTTGCAGCCCAAACAAATAGCTCTGAGTTCATCGCTACCTAATTCCAAACCTCAGACACCATCTATTTTGAGCCCTAATCCTTATATTCCGAGTTTACCATCGTCTAACTCAAAACATTCTATCTATCAGACTCAGAGTATGCCATTATTCCAGTCCAAATCTCAGATGGTGCTTACACTCGATCATGCCTTCAGGTCCCTGAGCTCACCAGTTTGTCACTTCAAGTCGAAGAACACCACTTTACCAAATGACAAACACAGAGCTACAGATTTATCTTCACGCCATCTCAAACCAAATGTCTCAGGTGAATCATTATCAAGCTCCAAATACTGCATCAGAAGCATGGCTGCTTCAACACTGGGCTCCAGAATCCAGAGTAAAAACATCTTCGATCTTTTTTCAAAGACAGATTCAAATAAAGAAATTTCATGGACTTTAGATTATGTTTATCCCTGCATTGTTAAAGGTGGAACTGTTCCTGATGATGTTGTAAATAAAATTATCAATTCTCTGTCTAAGACCAGAATCCAGAAGGATCTCTGTAGGCAGATTCTCTTTCGAAGGATGAGAGGAAGGCCAAATCCTTATCCTGGTCCCCGCATTTCATCAAGTTATGTGATTTGCTTAGCTTGTGCTTCCTGCATTAAATCTCAGTGTTATCATCTTACAGGAAAAAAAGATCCTCGTGCTGCAACATTATTTGTCATACCAACACCTGAACCCAGTGCTGAGGGACAAATAAAGATGAAATTAGTTTTTATTCTTTCCGTACCAGAGACTTCTTTCTCATCCTGTCTACCGTTCTCTTTGAAAGAAAACCAGCCTGATGAAGCCCTTGAAGATAACGTTGAAGAAATTGAGAAGATATCACAATTTTTTCCTACATCTGAACCTGATAGCACTCAGGGGCTAAATGTGAAGGAAAAATGGCTGACAGTAGCTCCTGAAAAGAAAGTTGTAAGCCAACAGTCCCAGGCTATTGACTGGCTGCTTTATATTAAGAAAAGTAGTAATTCTCAGCCACAGACAAGGCTGCCCTCTTCTCCCTCCTCCATCTCTTTCTCCTCATGCTCCTCTTCATCATCTTCTTCCTCCTCCACTGCACCCTTCTCGCCCATTTCTTACAAAGAGTCTCCCACCTCTGCCCTCTCAGATTGTGTGTTCACTAAGCTAATTAGTTACCACCGGTTGCCTCCAGGGGTCTCCTGGCTAGAGTTTATATGTAGCAAAAATCACCAGCCACTTCCTGTAAAAACACATCAAAGTCAATCACCACCTCTCAAAACAAATCCCGTAAGAAACAGAGCCATAGTGAAAGGGCCAAAGGGGCCAAAGACACTATTCAAATTTTTTTCAGGTAAAGTTTCAAAATGAGAGAAATCTTGATTAAATTAACTTTTTGTTTCTTTCAAAGCATTCGACCTCTTAGTTCTTTGAGACTAGAATTTGATCTATCATGCTTATTATAATTGTTAGTAATAACTAAATGGGACTCTATATTTTAGCTGACGATGCACCTAGTTAAGGGGAACTATTACTCTTACCTATTTTTCAGTTAAATAGACTATCATCTCCTAGAAGCCAAACTGAATCTCTTGTTTTTAACCAAATGTCTGGCTTATAGTAGCACTATATAATCATTGTTAAATAAATTAATCATAATTGGCTACAGATCAGAAATATCTCATCTGTCTTGCCAGAATAGTATATAGCATATTGTTATTTCCCTTCTTCACAAGATATGATCATGACAGTACCCATAAGCCAATATGTGCTAATTTGTTTACCTGTCTCTAAAGAAAATTCAGATAATTTTCAATAGGGAAGAATATATAGAGAGACTAATCTTTTCAGTTATGTATTCCTAGGGAAAATTCTTGTATGCTAAGATCCCACACTGAAATCCAAGAATTTATTCAAGCTTAGTTAACAAACCTCAGGAGAGAATAAGTAGCTAATACAGATAACCCTATCTCATGCAGACTATGCCATATTTAAATTATGGGTTCTAAAGTCACCTGTTCATAATTTTCAAAATGGGTTAATAAAATGTTTTAAAAATGTTTTTGTTCCACTGGGTCTACTGGTAGTGAGAAGAAAAGAGAGTTGTCTCACCTGCTCACCTTAAGTGATCATCTCTATCCCGAAAGGCTTAAATTAGTATCTCTCACATACACTGATGACCACAATTCTATCTCTCCACCCCACAATTTTGATCGCCAGACTTCATAGTGGATATTTCTTTTTGGAACATTGCACAAGCCTTATTATCTCTAGAATTCAGCTCTTTTCTCTAACCCAATTGCCACTACCCTAGTTGTGGTCACATTTGTCACCTGGGTTGCTGCAATAACTCCTAAACATGCATTTTAACTTTGAATGTATTTCTGAGACACAGATTTGATAATGTCACTCTACTGCCTAAATCCTTTCATCATTGCCCATTGTTTTCTGAGGAAAGTCTAAATGCCTTTTATAATTGAACTATTATTATCTCTCAAAACTGATTTCTTATTTTTTCTCCAATCTCCTACAGATGCTTCAGCCACACTAGTTTCTTTACGTGCACAAAATGTGCCAAGTCCTCTCTTACATTCTACACTTTTAAATCAATGCAATTCTGCTGTCTAGAAATATCTCTCAATCTCTACATTTTTATTCTGCAGGGCTCTATGTTTGTCTTGACATCTTCTAGGAAGCCTTTATCTGATCCACTTACAAACAGGTTAGCTGGTCTTCCTATTACCATGAGACTCTGTTCACTCTTTGTTCTGCTCTTAATCACATTATAAAGCAATCATTTCTTCTCCATCTTCATTCATTAGACTGAAAACTCCCTGTTCACGATTTCTGTTTGTTTGTTTTTTAACCTAGTCTTTGGAATATAGTATATGCCCTAAAATATGTGTTGATATTGAGTTAATACTATTGAAGCTCTTCATTTTTTTTAATTCTCTAAAATAAATAATGTTTCATCAGTCTGCTTCTTTCCCATAAGGCTAATATTGATTTTTTTTTTTGTACCTTTTGTTTTGGTGAAAACATATATAAAAATGGTATTGATGACAACAGTCATCTTTATTTCTTATGTTAAAAGTGTTTCTTTCTTGTGTTTCAGTATTAAATATGATGTTGGCCGATATATAGCTTATCAGTGATGATGAGGAAGAAGGCATGTATGTGATAATGCGTTCCAGGCTTCCTCTAATCTCTTTAGAAAAACCTTTCTGCAGTCTCTTTAGAAACCCCTTTATTCATCCTGAACTTCTCTCTTGATGACTGACATACATAATTTTTGTAATTACTTGTTCAATATATTTTCTACTAAACTTCGTGAGTGGAGATCATGTGTCTGTCTGTCTTGTTTACAACTAGCTCCTCAGGACCTAGTGGTACCTGGCATATACTAAGTTAAATTAAATTGAGGAGTTCAACTGATTTTTATTTATCGACATAATTTGCATGTTTAATTTTCCATTTTTAAACTTATCTTTTAAACTTTATCTCATTATAGTTTCTTTTTACTTTTCCCTTTGTTTTTTGGACTGTGATTTAATTTTTAGCTTCCTATTGTATTGGCAGTTATTTATCTTGCTCTTAATTATGAAAGTGTCTACTTTCAAGACTTTTTTGAAATAATTTTTTAACTAATAATTTCTAATTTTTAAATTTGGAAATAAAATCACTTGAAATTTATGGGAAAAATGTATAAACAACTAATTTCTAACTCACTCTCACCCAGCTTGTATTGATACCAAAGGAATTCAAAATAGGGAATAACTTGGGTCATGCCGGAAAGATCAAGAAATTTCTGCCAGGTCTCATACAGATGAGATCAGATGTTAAAAGGGCAGAAGGACTCAAAATTCACTACTATATTTAAAGTAAGAGATTGCCTACAAAATAATACATAAAGATATTAATTGCATCTTATTAATGTATTTTTTCTTAAATGGAAAGGGCTGGACATAAGGGCAGACTATATAACAATTGATAGGTAGAAAGTGGATCTTATAAGTTATCACATTTTGATGTAATTAATTGATGTATATTGATATGACACATCTGGATGATAATTTGACAATAATATCACAACATTAATAATATATATATAACTATTTTCCTTATAGTCATATTTATTAGAGTTTATTTTTAAAAAAATTATCATGACTGTGTAGAGTTATGTAAACAAGTAAGCATTGTGTTTATAATAGTGAGAGATTGGGAAAAAATCTAGATGTTCATTTATAGAAAAGTGTTTAAATACACCATGAGCCAATGCATGTGATGTTTTTCCTAGTGAAAAATTGTTATTTCTTATATTTCACCCACATTTATGTTAGGACTAGAACTACCTTCTTTAGGAAGAAGATATCTTGTTAAAAACCCTTGGTCATGGATAGTGATTCTGAGCATCTGTTGGAAGAAGAAAGTGAAAACAAAGAGAAGATAGCTAAACTACTGCATTTAAGTTTCAAACAGAAACTTTTTGATGGGAATCAGTGAAAAGAGGAAAGAAAATATATAATTTATGATTTGTTTTAAATGAAAACATACTCAGGTTATAAGACAGATCTCATGCAGTTTATACATAATTTTGACTTATAAAACATTGAAAGTATGCATATATGTATATGTGTGTATGTATTTGTATAAAGTTTATTTCATATATATGAGAAAGATGGAGTGACTGGAAGTAGACATATCTTCAGTGAGTATGAATTTCTTTTATAGTCAACAATTTAAAACATATGTTATAAAAATGAAAAATAAAACTTGCTTTTTTTTGTTTTAGATGAAGTCTAGAGACACAATTTTGCTGTTATACTCCTTTTTACTTATTATTATTTGTGACTTTATAAATTCCCAAGAAATACACATTTTTACGAAATATGCACTTTCTTCAGGAGAAATGCATTTTATTTTTTAAAGTTTAAATATTTAAAAATTTATATATTCTCTACCTCAATATTTGTTGCCAGACTTCTTACACTATGCTTACATATAATTATGCATTTGTTTTTTTTTAATTTATGAAATACTTCAAACCTATGAGGAAAGACAATGTGGTGATGGAAGTTTTTACCACCACCTAAATTTATCAAATTTTATTCTTTGGTTTACATTGAGTTCATGTGTTAAAGAAATAAAATGTTATTGATACAAGTGCTATCCCTGGTGTATATAACCATCCAAGATACCAATCCTATCTTGCACTCCTCAGAAGTAACCACTGTCATAAATTTGCTGTAAGTCATATTTGCCTTTATTTTAAAAAATTACTAAATAATTATGGAGCCATAGCAATCTAGTCTTTTGGATGTTTTAAAACTTTCTGTGTATTATATTATAATGTATTTAATATTTTTAAGTGTATGGTTTTTGATATAATATTTTTGAGATATAACCTTGAAAGATATAGATAGGCCATTCATTTTCATATATATATGAAAATATGTATATATATATGTATATACACATACATACATATATATTATATAATTGCATAGTATAAATTTATTATGATTTATGTATTTAGTTTTGATTAATAGTTAATTTACATTTTTATTATCATATACAATGTTGCAGTGATATTCTTTTAAAAATTTTATTGAGGTATAATTGACACATAACATTACATTAGTTTTAGGTGTACAACATAATGATTTGATATTTGTATATATTGCAAAATAATCACCACAATAAGCTTTGTTAATATCTGTTCCCATATATAGTTACAAATTTTTTTTCTTGTGACAGAGACTTTTAAGATCTACTCTTAACAACTTTCAAATATGTAATATAGAATGATTAACTATAGTCACCATGCACATTATTTTTCATGTCCTAGTTTGAACACGTGTGGGAAATTTTCAAAAGTTATGTTGTGTAATACCTGGTTCATGACTTAGCAATATAAGTATCATGTAGGAATATGTCAGAAATGCAGAATCTCACCCCAACTCGAATATATTGAATCATAATCTGAATTTTATAAGATTTTCAGGTAAGTTCTATGCAAATTAAGCATTTGAGTGTGTAAGAGTGAAATCGAAGATTGCAAAGTGCCGTCCAATAAAAATATGTCAGTCATATATAATTTTTCAATTTCTCGTAGCCACATTAGTAAGTAAAAAGAAATAAGTAAAATTAATTTTAATAATTTATTTTATTTAACGTCATATATCTAAAAGTTTTTCATTTCAACATGTAATTAAGATTTGTTCTTAACCAGGGTTATTTGTTCCCAGGGGATATTTAGCAATATCTTACACACTTTTTAGATTATTATTATTATTATTTTATTATGGTGATATTGGTTAACAAAATCCAGTAAGTTTCACATGTACAATTTAACAGTAAGGCATATATTGCATTGTGAGTTCAGAGCCTATAGTTAGATTTATTTCTGTCACCACATACTTGACACCTTTTACCCTATCTAACTCCCTCTTCCCTCACTCTCTGGTAACCACTAGTTTATTGTTCATGTCCACGAGTCTCTGTTTGTCCTGTTCATTTGTTGCTTTTAGGTTTATTCCACATATAAATGATTTCATGTGGTTTTCAACTTTTTCTGTATGAATTATTTCGCTTAGTATGATTATCTCAAGGTCCATCTGTGTTGTTGCAAATGGCAGTATTTCATCTCTTCTTATGGCTGAGTAATATTCCATTGTATATTTGCACCAAAGCTTCTTTATCCGATTGTCTGTTATAGGACACTTCGGATGCTTCCATGTCCTGGCAACCATGAATAATGCTGCTATGAACACTGGTGTGCAAATATCTTTTCAGATACGGGTTTTCAAGTCTTTGGGGTAAATACCCACTAGAGGGATTGCTGGATCATATGGTAGATCATTTTTAATTTTTTGAGGAACCTTCATACTATTTTCCATAGTGGCCGTACCAATTTGCAGTCTCACCAGCAGTGTATGAGTGTTCCTTTTTCTCTGCATCCTCTCCAACACTTATTACTTGTCCTATTGATAACAGCTATTTTAACAGATGTGAGATGGTACCTCATCGCGGTTGTGATTTGCATTTCCCTAAGAGCTAGAGATGTCGAGCATCTTTTCATATATATTTTGGCCATTTGTGTGTCTTCTTGAGAGAAGTGTCTGTTCAGGTCATCTGCCCATTTTTAATTGGATTTTTTTGTTGTTATTGTTATTGAGTTGTATGAGTTTTTTGTATATTTTGGATATTAGGCCATTATCGGAAGCGTTGCTTGCAAATATATTTTCCCATTTGGATGGCTGTCTTTACCTTGTTGACAATTTCTTTTGCTGAGCAGAAGCTTTTTAGTTTGATGTAGTCCCATTTGTTTATTTTAGCTTTTACTTCCCTTGCTTTTGAGGTCAAATTCATAAAATCCTCTTTAAGTCAAAGGTCCTTTAATTTAGTTCCTATGTTTTCTTCTATGAATTTTATTGTTTCAGGTCTTATTTTCAGGTCTTTAATCTATTTTGAGTTAATTTTGGTATGTGGTGATAGACAACAGTCTAATTTCATTATTTTGCAGGTGACTTTCCAGTTTTCCCAAAACCATTTATTGAAGAGGCTGTCCTTTCTCCGCTGTATGTTTTTGGCTTTTTTGTCAAAAATTATTTGCCCATATAAATATAGGTTTACTTCTGGACTCTCGATTCTGTTCCACTGGTCCGTGTGTCTGTTTTGCTGCTAATACCATGTTGTTTTGATTACTGTCACTTTGTAGTATAATTTGAAGTCGAGCAGAGTGATGCCTCCAGCCTCGTTCTTTTCTCTCCGGGTGGCTGTGATATGGTCATTTTAACTCTGTTGATTCTTCCAACCCAAGAACACGGAATATCTATCCAATTCTTTGTATCTTCTTTGATTTCTTTTAATAGGGTCGTATAGTTTTCATTATATAGGTCCTTCACATGTTTTGTTAAATTGATTCCTAGGTATTTTATTCTTTTTGTTGCAATTGCAAAAGGAATTATTTTTTCCACTTCTTTTTCTGACCCTTTGTTATTAGAGTAAAGGAACGCTATGGATTTTTGAACATTAATTTTGCATCCAGAGACTTTACTGTATTTGCTTATTGTTTCTAGTAGTGTTCTTGTGGAGTCTTTAGGGTTCTATATAGAGAATCTTGTTATCTGTGAATAGTGACAGTTTGACTTCT